ACCTAAGCTCGGTATTTGCATGTCTTGCTCACTTGATAGTCAAACTGATAGTCAAAAAGAATCATGAAATATTGTTTGAAAGGTTTTACTGATACATAATAGATAACTGTCGGCTCATTTGATTTCACTTAATAATGAGGCGTTAAGATTTCGATGCTTTATTTTTTCAATTATAAATAATATATAAGAATTATAATATAATAATTATGATATAATAATGATAATAATTACTTGTGTTGCATTAATCAAATATTTAATATAGTGGAAATTAAAATGCGAAATTAAACAAAAATAAGAAAAATAATTTTATAATAACAATTTATATTTATTTTACAATTTAATAATTTCTTATAGTTATCAATTTATTAGTTATTTAATAAATTAATTATAAAATTTCAATACAATTTTTTCAATATAAAAATAAATATATAAATTTGTAAATAATAGATTAAAATATTTGTTTATAAGAAAAATATATTTAAAATTATAAATAGGAATGCTTTTAAAGTAATTTTTATTACAGAATAAAATTTAATCAACAAACAAATGATTATCCCATTTTCTATTCAACATTTTTTATTAAGATTTGAGTACAATAAATTAATTCCCAGTTAATGTATCTTACTCCTATTTTATTAGAATAACACAATAGCTAATAAATAAGTAAATAAAAAGTAAACATTGACATTTTTTAGTCATCTGTAGAATTCATAAAATGATGAAGTTAATAATAAAAGATATATTAAATTATAAATGTACAAAGTAATTAAATATTCAATATAATATAAAAATACGTCTAATTTGATCAATTCATATACCTATAGTGATAACATTGCTTTAATTGTCTTTATCTGTATATTTTATAAATATTTTTATTTAATTTAATAAAATGAATAGAATTACATCAATATTATTAGTTCTCTACATAATTTTCTCAGTATTATATACTGACAATGTAGTTTAAAAAACTGACTTTGTTATATTATAATGTCATGACAAATTTAGTAGATAAATATGTTCATATTTAATATAATAATTTTTTACACGAATATTTTATTAATATTTTCGTTATAATAACGCTTTTATCAATTATAAAATGGTTTATATAATTGAAGTGTAAAATGAAATTTAGTAGCTTATGATTTCAATTGTATACACGTATATTATATATTTTAGTATATCCTAATGCAAATATAATATTATTATTTTATTTACATAGATTAATACTAACATTGTTAATTACTAGTAACAATAATAATTTAATTCCTTATTCACAAAATGAATGCAACATTAGTAATAAATTTAATTTACACTTACATTACGAATCATTTCTATATTCTTTTTAAACTTATATAGTCAAAAATTTAAAAAAAATTTAGTAATATATACTGACCTACAAAAACAGTTTATTTAAATTCTTGACATTTTTAAACTTATCGGGGTAAAATTAGCATAAAAATAAATTCAATTTCATTTTGTAAAAATATTTTAATCCTAATAATTAAGTGTCAATAAATGATAAATATTACATTGTGGAAACAACTAAAATTTAAATAAAATATTTTGCAAAAAATTAAAAAGATTATTTTTAACTTTTAAAATGTGAATTTGATTCAAAATACAGATAACTTGAAATTAAATATCTATCTGCATTTAACTTATTCATAGATTTATATAACATTAATAATAATTGAATTAATTACAAACTTATTTCAAACACTATTTTAAAAGAAAAGTTAATTATAAAGAAATATTTTTTTTCATTCTTAATACTGATTGAAATATAAGAATTATTCCAATGTATTTGATTTATAGCAAATTAATTCCAAGCAACTGAATATAAAATCAACCTTTTATGCTTTTATAAGTAATATTAAATAATATTTAATACATAATTCATAAAACAATAGTGCCACAAGTATAATACAACTTACTAGTTGAATTTCATTTTTCCTAGAACATTTTGCAGCATTTCAAAAATTTGCATCAACGAAAAATCACATAGATTGAATAATACAGCCACGCACTCATGTCTATATACATATTTATAAAGTGTGTCTAAATATATATGTGTACTATTTAACATGGATATATATATACATGTATTTAGTATTCAAACAATAATAATCTATTTGGAAATGTGCACGTCGACTGTAATGAATACATAGAAGTAAAACAAAAAACTGAAAATGTGAATATTATTTTTCTTATTTTCACAACCAATTTTATTACTAATATTATTACTACTAATTTTACTACTATTATTATTACTATTACTACTATTAATACTATAGCTAATACTACTATTAATACTACTACTACTACTAATAGTACTACTAATGTGCTGCTGCTGCTGCTGCTACTACTACTACTTCTACTGCAATACTATTACTACGACAATTACTATAGTTATAATCTTGTTCTTATTATTATTAGTATGATTATGTTTTACTGAAAAGTGACAAATTGGTATGAATATTCCTTCACAATCTTCCTTACATCGTATATAAATTTGTATATTTATCGTCACTAAATTGAAATTGTTTTTATGCTACTGAATTTTCATCCTATATGGCACATAGTTACATTTAATTTTAGTTTAAATGTATCCGCTCACCCAGTGCATGAAAGCTTACTTTAGCATATCCCGTGTTATTGTTTTTTCTGTATTATTTTTTATATCCGTTAATAACTTTTTCACATTGTACGAAAAATGTATCAATATATCAATTATTTTTTTATTATATTTACTTATATTATATTACATGATATTATATTATATTATAATTTTATTATACTTTTATTTTTTCCTTATTTACAAGCTTAAATAAAACTAGTAAAAAAACCTTCTGATTAACATGAAATAAAAAATTGATATGTTATTGTATATATGAAAATATGTACTTTAATAATAAATTTAAAAATATATGGAACAGTGGTTCTATTCGCTAAAGATCTCGAAAATAAATATTTTTATTTCTTTATATATTAATAATTTAATGAAGTATTAGAATAAATTCATTATTTAACACACACATACACTCGCGCGCGCGCGCACACACACACACACACACACATATATATATATATATATATATATATTAAATATTTATAATTACATACAATTAATTTAATTAAAATTATAAAGCTGTTATTTATAAAATATATCTCATAAATTAGATTAAAAATGTTTCACTTTGCATGTGTAATTTTAAAATTAGTTATTTCCTATAAGGCCAATGAGTACCTTCAAATTTACATAACATTTTTCTCGGTATGTGAATGTATACCACGAGCTATTTCTTTCGAAAATCAAACGTAAAGTAAGTAATTAGCTTTGCTTTGTGCAAGTTTATAATTGATAATTAATGTTGTCTGGTAGATAGTTTTAGAATTTCTATTGCTATAGTAATGTCTTTTTTGTCTTAAACTCAAATTTATTTGGATGTGAAACATTCAGCACTTACAAATTAAATTTTTTGCTGCCTTTGAAAAATATATTTTCTTAACCGAAGAGAAATTTTTTTAAATAAATACCTGGATAATACAAATAATGATTGATAATGATATTAGATGATTGCATTTTAAAATCGTTCATATTTTATAATAGTTTCTATAATATAACATAAAGTTCATAATAAAATAATCAAGTCTATATAATAATAATATCATTGAAAAGTTATTGTACTAATTTATTTATTTAATTAATAAATTACAAGTATATTTTTTTATAAAAATTATTGTAATTCAAAGATTCTCTTCAGGGATCCTGAATGTCTGTATTAATATGTATTGACAAAGTGCTAATATTGAAATAAGTGTTTATATATGTTTTAGTATGGTTTATCTTTTTACTAAGTCTAATTCTTCAGCCCAAAAATATTATTATTATAAATGTATAAAATTAATTAATGTATGTGTTTTAAAAAGATCTAAAACCCTTTTACGTCATTTCTTGGATTATGGCAAAGAAAAATAATTTGTGATAGATGCTTTTCGAATATTTTCCAGTGAAATGTTCTTATATTAAATGGAAAATCTAAATGAAAACATAGACCATAAACATTATTTTATGCATATATAGAATTAGTTAAAAATTAATTTTTAATAATAATATGACGGCGAAATAATTTCACTCCACAAATATTTCGAATATTCTTCAAAATATATGTAGTCCTTTTTTCCCCGGTACCTCGCGGTAAAAATGAAAAAAAGACAGACGATAATGTAAATAATTAAGGTTACTTTCTTCTAAGTAAAAATATATGTATACAAACACAACATTACGTACATTCTTTTCAATAAAACGTTATTATTAATCATTAACATTGGTTATTATTAAATGCTTATAATTTTAAAAAATGTTTAGAAGAATAAAAAATAACTTTAAATAAATGTAGTAATAAAAAATCCTATGATAAAATAATATAATATTAAAATAGTACATAGCATTTACGATTAATTAACTTTAGTATAATATTTTTAATAAAAAGTTGAAGCCAATTAATATAGACGAATCCTTAATTTAAATTAATTTAAATTAATTTAAAAGAATATGATTTTGAAGTTTTCTATTTGAAGCAAAATATAAGATTTTAGATACTTATTATAATACATAATAGCCAAAAAAATGATAAATTCGGTTTAAATTATAGCGTATTAGTATGAAAAAATCATATTTCAACTGTCAATTTTTAAGTGTATATAATAATTACACTGAAAGCTATTAATATGAAGATTCAATAATCAAAAGCTTAATAGCATATGATAATTGTTGCATTAAACAATCAAGAGATAAGATATTTTGTTGGAAAACTCCTTCATTCATTATTACTAATATTTTTACATAATTTGTAAAATTATTGAGTTCATAAAAGTAATGTGCCGTATGTGTCTCGATGTCTGTCTTTTCTTTTTAAAAACCGTAGGGATACCAAGGTATCATTTCTTAAGACTAATCGCTTTTTCTCGATGGGAACTTGTTCTCGGACCGATTTCAGGAACTTATTTCAATTGTATAATGTTTATGGTGGCAAGCAGCGTTGTTCTCACCGTCCTTGTGCTTAATTATCATCATCGAAAGCCCGATAATTACGAAATGCCGAATTGGGTAAGATAAATTACAAAAAATCAAACTTTTTTATAACTGAAAAATTTATTATATAGTTGATCGATTAAATGAAATTATTTACATTACAACCAATTCATGTAATATATATTTAAATTGAATTTTTGTGTATTTATAGAAAAAAGTCGTACATTGTAAAAAGGAATAAATAAAGTAAATTAGTAATTTAAACATGTCAAAATTAATAAAGCAGTAAGATTCATTTAATTGTAAATTTATTTTATTTATTTACACTTTTATTATATAATAAATCTTATATAAATGATATTATTAATTATCAAATTCTATTTTTAAATATTTAATTAATAATTTAAGAATCTGGAAATATTTATATATAATCACATTTAAAAATAATTGGTTGTAATACGCATTAGTAGTTGGTATAAAAAATTCTAAATTTATTTCATCGAACTCAACTTATTACTCCATATAATGCAGTAGAAGAGTAACAAAATTTTGGTTCATTTGGTCCATCATCAAGACACTTTTTATTTAAAATAAATTGATCGCATTTTGATTACGTAACATTAATTAATAAGGGAACAATTTTTCTCAAGAAAATATCAAGAAAACAGAAAAATTTTAATTTCTTAGACAAAGACGGTATTTCTACAATGGTTGCCTTTGATGCTTCGAATGGACCGTCCTGGTAAAAAGATCACGAGAAAGACGATTCTCATGAGCAATCGTATGAAAGAACTTGAACTCCAAGAGAGGAGCAGCAAAAGCCTACTAGCAAACGTTTTAGACATAGACGATGACTTTCGTCACATAAATAGCAATCAAAATCCCACCACTAGCTATATAAGGTAATCGTAAGCTTATCTATTAATTACCTAATCAGTTGATTAAAGAATTATAAAGGAAGTTTCTTATTTTTTCATAACAATCATTGTTCATACTCACTGATATTGTATTATATAAATAGTAACACGATCATAAATATTATTCTTTATTTATAAAAAGTTAATTATAGTGCATCCTATTACACATTGTTTACATACATGCGTCTACAAAATTCTAAGATATCATTTAATATATGTACTCCTATATAAGATATTAATAATTAAAAAATAAATTTATGTTAAATTTATATTACTGTGTTAGTTTTTTCAAAATTTAAACAGTAAGATTATAAAATAGGAAGTTTTATTGTTTTATAATACTTATCATTAAATAATAAGATAATAAAGTGATTTTAAAATTTTTAAATTGTGTATTTCTTTAGAGAAATTTTCATGAATATCATACTGTGACAATTAAAAATAAATATGAATTCTAAATTAAAATAGTAAACACTTTTCCTTAATATTAATTAATTTTATACGATTTTTAAGTTTGTAATGTTTTTTTTTAGATTATTATTGATTATGATGAATTATTATTTATTTTCATTATAAGTTACTTAATCTTAGTTCTAAAGTGATTTCTTAATAGTATAATTTAGTAAAGTATGCTTGGTACAATTTAATTTTGGAGATAAATTATGTAGTAATAACGAATAATAGTAATAACAGGTCGGTGTATGGAACGCCATTATCCGGAAGACCGGCGACGGTCGAAGAAACGTCTGCATCGTTACCTTTAAGCGGTACCCAGCGGGAGCTGCACACGATCCTGAGAGAATTGCAGTTTATCACAGGACGCATGAAAAAGTCGGACATCGAAGCCGAAGTTATTAGTGATTGGAAGTTTGCTGCAATGGTCGTGGACAGGTAAGTTGTACATTGAGAGTGTATTTACAATCTTGAGAAAAGTAAATTTATAATGCGTGTTATTGTTTCTGATGAACTGACTTAGAAAATGAATTGAAACATTACCAACATTATAATATATGAAATTTCAAAGCTAAAATTTAAGATATAAATAAAAAATCTATGAAATGTAATGCTTTGAACATTTCTCACAAGTACACATTTATTTATATTTATATATTCATATAACAAATATTTATTAAATTATTATCGTATGTATATATATTGAATAATTAATAAATTTCATATTAAAAGAGCATAGAATTAAAAGAAACATATATATATGAACTTAATATATATATATATATATATAATAATAATACTTAATACTTAATACTTAATAATACTTAATATATATATATATATATATAATAATAATAATTAAAAAAACAGTTAATTTTAATTGTGGAATGAATTTGTATAAAATTGAATAATAATTTAATATCTATTTTTTTAATAATACTTAAGAAATTATATTTGAGATAAATAATCGATATATCATTTTTGCATTAAATATATTAATTAATTTTCTTAATAATTTACATTGTTAATTGTCGATATTTTAGAAGAATTTTGTTAAGTACATATTAGAAATATTATTATTATTTAAATAAATTGTTTTTTTATATATAGAATAAAAAAATAAAGCTTGAAAGCATAACTATAATAATGAGCGATTTAAGTAATTTCATATAATTTGAAACCAAATACCTTTTTAAAAATTTCCTATATTCTACTTTTTAATATAAAAATTACATTTAATGCATACAGTTATCGTCCGGGCTAATACATCGCAATAATAAGACAATCTAAAGAATACTAAAAATAATCTGAAAAATTACAAAATCCCTTAATTTTAAATTACTTTTCTTAAGCAATCATGCAATTGTAAATAAGGTAACGATAAATCTTTAAACCTCCATATCCCCAAGAAGATCTAATGTTCACACATATTTCTTTTAGATTTTGCCTGATCGCATTCACACTGTTCACAGTGGTAGCGACAGTGGCGGTGCTGTTCTCCGCACCCCATATAATTGTCCAGTAGTTGAGCGCTAGCAATGACAATGATAAATTAACTGTCCGAATTTGGCTTAGGGTAAGTACTCTAGCTGTACTAATTTTAACCAGCATAATAATGCAATTCTTAATGCGCAATTGACATAATTGACACAATAAAAGCACTGTATAAAATACTCATTCTATATATGCTCTAGTGTAATATTTTTTCTTTTTTAACAATAAACATTACTTAAGATTGTTTGGTTAGTCAATTGGCTTGTAGTAGTATACACTGTAATAATATATGAAAAACAAATTAATGTATTTATGGATTTTAAATATAATCTATTTTTACGAAATATTTATATCTTTAAAGTAAGATATATTGCCTTTTTCGAATAACAATGTTTAATTCATAGAGCATTTTAAGTGTTAGATTGCTAATGTATATAGTATATATAGCTAATATATAGTTGCTAACATATATAGTTCACAAGTGAAATAATTTACACATAAGAAGTTAAAATTATTATCATTATTTTTAGAAGGAAAGTTAGTTATAGAAAGTAACAGATTAAATTTTCATTAGTATTTAATATCAAGTTTTCTTGATTTTTCTCAAAATTTGGAAATGAAATATAATGATCTTTTTAAGATATTACCTCATTTTATAAAGATTATCAAACTATTGTTTTGATAATAAGAATTTGAATCAAATGTTTTAAAATTTTTATTATTAATTTTTGATAATAATAAATAATAATAATAATAAATAAATATAATACTTAAAAAATTGCAGTATGTTTATTTGTATGAATTATATTTAATTACCATTATTAAAACATAATATAAGATATCATCGAATTATTTTATTGAGTAAATTAAAATTTAAAAATGAAATCTTACATTCTACTTCTGTATTTATTCAAAGTTTAATTTTTCTGGATAACCAATATTTATTATTTTATTACTATAGATAGTTTTATATTCTATTATATACAAAATAATAATTAAACATTAATATTTATTCTAAATATATTATATTCTAAATTTATTATATAAATTATGTAAATCAATTAAAAAAAAAAAATTCCAATATTTAATATAAAATAAATTTCAATAGTGCAATCATCCATTTAAACCAACACCGATACAAAAAATATTATAGATCACATTTCTAAAATATAAAAACACGAATGACTATATTACATATTGCTTAGAGTAATATAAATTTATACGAAAAAACTTTTTATTATTTTGAATAATATTTAAAGTTCTCTATTTATTAAATTTTAATACATACATTACTATTTGTGAAAGTTCCATAATATTGCACTTTATCAGAAGAAATATTGTTAGTTTCTTTAAAATTAAAATAAAATAATTACACTATAATTTTTTGTATATGAAAAAAATATATCAAACGTTTGTTTTCTTTTATAAATAATCGTCTATGCTTATCTTTGCGCGCAGAAGCCACGTATTGAACGATGCCGACAACATGCTGCTCAGCAACTTTTCCAACGACAACAACTACGAAAACAATGTCGACACCATACACATAGTGCAGCAATCCACCTTAATAACCAGAGAAAGGGATGATAGAGCAAACGAAGCAATCACATACTCCGAATTGCCAATTTGCTTTCGCAAAGGCCAATCTTCTCGTATTATATAGGCATTAATTATACAGACACACCATATACAGGCAAATAATTACATACTCGAATGATTTTTTTTAAAGAGCTCGAGTGGTTTTGCCACAAAAAATAAATTATACTGAATTAATAATATAGAATATAATATAAAAAATAAGCTTCATAATTTAATGTACAGAATATCGAATATTGTGACTTTGGGCCCTGTTTTATCTCTTGGCAGCTATTTTATCTTTACATTAGACCATAAAATTATAGGATTGAAAAGTACTTGGAATCTTTTTTCATAAAACGTCATGTTAATAAAGGCTTCAATATGCGTTGACGATAGACATCGATGAATCTGCAACATTATACCATATAAAAGTAATATGAGGCTTAATCATTACAAAATAGAAATACATTTACGGCATTATCATGCGCGAACATTATGGTCAAAACCATCAGTGGACTTCAAAATTCTTGTAAAGGACGTGCCTTTAGAAGAATAAAAATATTATTAATCTGAGAAATCAACTTGAATTTGTTAAATTGGGTATATCGGGATCTTCATCATAAGCCAATGCATTAAATCGTCGCTGATGAAGAACTGACGATGGATGCATAAATCAGTAGATATATAGAACTAAAATATAAGGCACAGTTGTATCTACTACAGATAATAGATTATCATTAACGAAAAATCTATATATCTATGTATCCATGTATTGCTGAACATTTTTTGCATTATTCATACACGGATTTCCACATAAAAAATACAAATAGTTGTATGATGGAATGCAATTCTATGAAACATTGATATTATATATAATAGGACTTTAATGTTTGAGTATTAGCATTATTTGAATTGTTAAAATATTGTTCACAATAAATCATAAATCAAGTAAACAAAATTGTTTAAATATCCTTTTTTTTAATCTTATTATAAAGATGTGTTATGAAATATACTAAAAAAATTTTATATCGAATTTTGAAAGCATTTACTATTATAGTCTGTTAAAAATAATTCATAAAGTAGTAATCTAAACATTTATTGAATTTTTAATTATTATTTTTATATTTAAAATTTCTATTAAATCATTTATACAATTGTTCATTAAATAATCAAATAATATTAAATATTAAATAATAAATATTAAAAATTCAGATTTCCTCCATAAAATTAATATTTAATTCATATACTCAACAATACAAATAATGTCAATCCTAATATTCAATAAAATTAATATTTTATGTACAAATTTGTAAATCGATATATAGTTTCAATGCCACATCTAATATCAAATTCAAATATTACATAATAATTTCTTTTTAGTTCCTCATTTCATAAATTTTTGTCATATGCATTATTTGAATTAAAAATAGATAATCAAAATTTTTATTACAATATATCCTAAGATTTAATATCGCACTCGTAATTAAACAATAAAGTCTTTAATTTAATAACGCAAAATTATTAATCAGTTTTTAGAATGTATTATTTATAAAATATATCATGGCTCTTATCACTTCTATAAAACATTTCTGAATAATCTGATGATTTGTGCATTAAATAAAAAAACACAATCGATATATATTGCAAAATAACTCAAAAAATTACTTCATACCAGTTTCCGATTTTAAACAACGAATTTTGGTAGAGTAATGGAAAGGCACTTCAAAAAATAAAAATATCATCAAAAAAATTTTTGATAAAGACTGAAAAAATTTTTATTTAACTTAATATTTTCAGAAAATAAATTAAAGGAATTCCATAGTTACATAGATTTTTAAAATATTCTTAATGTAAAGTATAGTAATGAAAATATTATGACAAATCATAATTGGAAGACGTGATCATGATAAGATTTTTTTCGGTTTTTGGTATTTGCAAAATGTATTGGCACATAATTTATCAAACTACTAATCTATAAAGTTAAATATTTAACTGCATCACTTCACGTTTGTGCTTCAGAGTTTTAAAACTATTGCAAATTAATATAAATGAAACGCAACAATTAAATACCTTCTAAAATAGTTTAAAATAAAAACTAATACTTTAATATAATCCAACCAAATAAATTCCATAATTTTATAATTTATATTTTCAAATTTACATTATCTTCAATTCTTTCTTTATGAAAACACTCGACTCTTCATCCATCGATTTTACATCGTTATCTATATCATCATACTTTATGTATATATAATGATACTTGATTTGCACGTTGCACGTCAAAAACTTGTATATGTCTCATATAACAAATAGCAGTGTTCTTCAGTTCATCCCAAAAAATACAATTGGTATTTTTTTTTATTGTACAAAAAAATAATAACTCTACGTGTTAAATAATTATATGATTTCATATTTTCATTAATTTAATAAAGTAATATAAATTGAGAAAATATTGTAAGATAAAAATATAAATATTAGTAAATATAACAAAACAGAATTGAATTCAGGTTGTGTTTCTAATATTTTACAAAACATTGAATACATTTTATTATTTAAAGATTTATTTTATTATAAAATGTTTTATTTATGAAGAGAATTCATATAATAGTTTTTTTCTTCTAAAAATAAAGTAATATTTGTTTTTGAAAAATTTGACATTTTTCCAAGATATTTATGCAGTAATAGATACTTTAAAACTTACATTATATATTTATATTTGCAAAAACAGAAAATTATATTTCTATCTTTCTATAATGTCAAAATAAATATATAGATGATATTAAACGTGCATACATGAAAATCTGAAAATCTAAATTATATTCTTAAACAATTGCAATGTATTTTTTACATATATTATTTTTTTATATATTATTACATATATTTTATTGAATATAACAATCAATAGGTTCATAATTTAATATTTTCTCTGAATATTTATATTTTTTTATTTTTAATCTCTTGTATATTTGTACAAATTAGTGTCTGAATAAAATTATGTTCACTATATAAATAAATATATTGCAGACCGTAATTATCTTAAAATCTCTCAGAATATTTAATATCATTATACCACTTTGATCTTTCAATAGGCTTTTGATAATTTTTTTAATTTAACTTTTTTCATTGTAACTATTTCATTTTATTAAGTTTTATCAGTAGATTTATTTATACTTACAAAAATTTAATGCATTTTCTGATAATATTTTGTTTTGTTTCCTTCAATCATCTATAAAAATTGTTTTATATATAAATGTTAGGAATATAATAAAAAATAATTAAAATAAACATTATAAATTTTAATTATTTTACCGGCGAATGGATAAGATGGAAAAGTCTAAATAATAGTTTCTTGCAAAAACTTCAATAGTTTCCTTATTTATTATAAGTAAAAAATAAAATAAAAGTCACGCAGTTCTAACTATAAAAAATAATATTAAATAATAATTTAAATAGAAACAACATTACTGAGTCAACTTTTTAAAGATAATAGAGTGATTGTGTGGAAATTTTCTACAAAAATGCTTTATTTTATTATAAGGACTTTCTACACAAACAATGAGTGATATTTATTTGAAATAATACTAAAATTAATTTGAAGTTCTTATCAACATTATTAATATGTATGATTATAAAATAATTGATTTTTATTCAAATACACCATTTAAAAAAATTTGAGTACATAATTTTTTAAAGTGCTCAAATACCCACTGTAGCTCTAATAACAGTAAAGTATCAAGGCATATATATTATTGAGAAATTTTATCTCAATTAAATAGATATAATCTTAGCACCTTCGCAGTTTTTCTGCAAGTTAGCAATATATGACTACTAAACCATAATACTTGTTATTATGCTTGTTAAATATACAATTCATAAATTTTATAAAATTAATAAGAATATAAATGAACATTTTTTTAACGTTTATTAAAACTTGAAAAGTTGAGTATTTTAAAATATGTCAGAAATAAGCCATTATAAAATTTATTTTTTATGAAATATTATATATTATTAAATAAAGCATATCATCGGCTGGTTAAGTCTTTTAATTATACATTCAATTCGTAGTCAATAAACTTGGTTACGATAATCTCAAAAATAGTCTTCATCACCTCAATGTATATTCAATAATTATAATATTTTATTGATCAATTCAATGAATACGTAGTAAATAAATAAGACCACTTGGCAATGGCTTAATTAAGGAGCAACGTTGCAATATCATCAATATAATTAAAATAAGAAAAATTAAAATATTAACGATTTATTTGTTCGAACAAAATAAAAAATCACATAATAAATGTCTTCATAAGATTATTGCAAAGTACTTGAATAAACTGAAGAAATGAAAAGATTTTTAAAAATGACGTAAAGACCAAAGTAAAAAATGGTACTGTTGGTTTTTAATAGAAATAAAGAAAATATACAGTTATAAAATTAGTGTTTTAAAAACTAGCAGAAAAATATATATATCATATAATATACATATAATATCATATATATTATACTCAATTTACTTATATATAATATCTTATTATATTATTAATATTACTATTATTTTATTTTCATCATTTTTATTATTTCTGTTTTTATCATAATCATCATTTTCAACATCACTTTAATATAATCATTATTATTATCATTATTCATATAATGAGATGATATAAAGACCGTGATTTAAAAAAAAGTTTATATGTAAAAACATATATAACTAAAATATTATACCTAAAATACCTCCCTGATATATATATTATAAATATATTATAAATATATTAAAAATATCAAAAAAGTTATTCTATATACATAGGAATTCAAACCATAAATATACAGGTATGCTGTTATTAATGATAACAATTCTACTCATATTGATATGGAAGTTATTCATTGTTCAGTTATGCATTGAATATTATGATATTACATTTTCCAATTATTGACAAGAGAATGCAAGTGCATAAAGATTTAATAATTTTAACAACACATAAATTAAAGTTATCAAATCCCATAATTAATATTATGGAGTTAATTTGTGGCATAAATCGATAAATTATTTAATGTAAAAAGGAACATTTGTAAAGTAATATAAATCTTATTTATAAGTAAATCTGCATAAACTGTCACGATAATCATA